ATCAACTCAACATCGATCCTCATACCCGCACCGACGATCCCAGCCGTCGCGTGCTACTCCCACCACTGCGATCGTCACCCCGCTGTCGCAGACTCGACACGGTTCACCCAGATCCCACAGTCCGTCGTGGCGATCCAACGCGCAACCGGCCAGTCTATCGGCAGCCCGGCAGACTTTCCGAATCGCTTCAAACACTCTGCTTAGCCACTGCTTCCCGAAAGTTGGCTTGAGAGTCGAGAACGTAAAAGAGATTTGCGGGCGCGCTTGCGGGTTTTATAGTTGCGAGAAAGGAGATAGAAGAGGGAGAGAACAACGGGAAGGCGGGGGGGTAGGAGGAGAAGGAGGAGAATACTTTGAGAAGAGTGCTCTACAAGCGCCATGTTGATTCCTCGGAACTCAAGGTTCAACCATTCAGATACGTCGCGCGATAGGAAGGTCCTATCGATCCACGCACCTGATTGGCGAGCGGGAGTTATTGGGGGATCGAACGGACGTCGTACGCCAGACTCAGAGGGTGAGAAGAGAAACGGCGCAAGAGGTGGCGCAAGACGGGTCCAAGATTCAGATGATCAAAAAAAGGGAAATGGGCGCGCAAACAGCAAGACAGGGGAGGGAGAGGGGAGAGAAAGAAACAGTTACAGGGAGAGAGAAAGAGGAGGGAGAAGGAAAGGGAGCGCGGGAGGGAAGCGATACAGGGGACAGAGGGGAGAAAGCTTCTGCATACGCGGCACCGTCAAGAAAAAAAAGAAAAAGGCACCGAAACAGTTACAGCTTGCTTCTATCCTAATTCAAAAATTGAAATCACCATATCCGTGCGCGAAAGAGCGACGCGGGAAAAGAAAAGTCCTACGCTTATTCGTATCCGAACGAAATTCCGACAGTTTTCTCCGACGTGACCAAGAACATTCACACACTCGGAAAGGACACGTCGAAGTTCCGCTTATCCCGGAATTCCCAACCGCTGGGCCCAATTCCCAGAGTGCTCGCTAAGGCGCACACAAATCCCCATATATTTCCCAACTTTGCAAAAAGAAAAACGGAACTCAGCAGTCGAAAAAGCTCTCCAAAAAGGGAAAATGCGGCACCCGAAAGCAAGAAATCGAAAACGGGGTTTTCCTGGGGTTGGTAATAAGGAAAAGAAAGGGTACGAAAGGTGGCACGGGGTCGTGAAGTGGTTCGTCACAAACACCCCCAGCGCACCCCGTGTCCCTACTATCCTACCTCAGTGTGACCAGCACTCAGGACCATCACCCTACCAGTATCGAGGGCAACTTTGACCAGACAGCAGTGACAAGCACCAAGGCTGGGCCAACCCTAGTGGAAGCGAAAGCGGACGAACCTTGCCGTACGGGCACTTCGGACTCCAGGCTCATGCCTGTAGAAGAAATTACTTGTCTTATGGACAAGCTGTATAGGGTGTCAGACATGGCAGTCAGCTGGGGCCATAAGAACGACCAGATGGTGGGGCGTCATCAGGGAGGAAGACCCCCGGAAAATGCCAACACAGCATGGCTCCCCTAGACCCTCCGCTGAGGGTACTGGGGGTATCCATGACAGCACAGGGCAGGCCCACAACCAATGCCGCATGACGCATGGGTACATGCCGTGATAGGTTATATTCAGGATTTAGGCTTGGCCTCTGAAAGGTAGGGGTGGTTTGAGAGGGTGTGACTACCTTTCTTTTTCTTTTTTTTTTTGAACTCCGTATAGAGGTGATAAGAGCATCCCCGGTCCCAGAGTCGAACGCTCCATCTATTGGTGGGTATATGATCATTGAAAACTGACTAGGCCCAGGCAATTCAGACAGAATGACTTTATTCTGTTCATTTCATAGTCGCTGGATTCGAGCTTTTTTTTTTTTTTTTTTTTTTTTCTTTATATATATAAAGGGCGGCAGTCTTGAGATATATCCACAGGTATTCGAGCTCGAGCCTGTACTTCAACAATTCAGAGGTGTACCAACTGACATAGTCCCGTTGGTTATTCATGCGTATGAAGGGTCTTTTTTTTAAATATTTTTTTAATAGTATTCTCTCAATCTGTCTATATACTCATCCTGCTCATCTATCTCATCCTCTCGCCAGTCTATGAATGTATAGTACGGGGAACACCAACCAAACCGGGTCTCTCCCCAGCCCACCGGGGCCAAGTCCCACTAGCAGCGTTAAGCTACCTCAACGCCTTAATCTGGACGTGTTTGTGGAGACGTGCAGTTCAGGAAACTCAACACCATTTCTGCACTCTCCGTAAAAGCGTCCACATTCAGGCGTTGAAGTAGCTCAACGCTACTAGTGGGAAGCCCACCGGGTAGGTTCGCACCAATGGATGAGCTCCAGTCTTCCCCCGAATACAACCGTAGTTGAATTTGGGGTATCTTTCACTCTCAATACAGCTATAATGACCGAACGTTGTATTCGGGGGAAGACGGTACTCTTCAATTGATATTGATGAGCTGGTGGGCGTGGCTCCGAGAGCTACTCTCTCGAAATGTGCAAAAAGAGAGTGATGAATCTTCCGCTAGAACATGGAAAGTACTCCGCCTAAAAAAAAAAAAGAAAAAAAAAAAG